AAAATGGCGTCATAATCAGCAGATCTGAGCAAACCGAACGACATCAAGCGGGTGTCCCAAGAACAACTGGAGACGCGCAATTCAAACATTACGCATTGTTTATGAACAGGCTATGTATGTCACGGCTCAATGCCGTTAGGAGATCTCCAATCACGTTTTCTTTGGTAAGAAGTAATAATCTCTGAAACCTCAACAAGTCCTAGACGTTCTTTTGGTAAATTCACATATTATCTAACAGCCACGCTAACTCACGGTGGTAGTGTGCAGCAGATTCCTGCCTTCCAGCAAGTCGGCTAGATGGCCTGCTACGAGTTGAAAGCATCCCTTGGCGACGAAGGGCAGCGCAGACATGAATCCGGCGCCGCGTAGATTATAGCCCAGCGTATCTGCGACAGAGTTCGGAGATTCAATATAGATAAGTTATGGTGTGGATTTATAAATGTACACTTGGACACTGACATCCATGTCGTCTCATAACTTAATTCGACACAGTATGTCGCTTAATGTCTGTTTTAGTAGCTACCATTTCATTTTTCATTTCATTCGAAAGTGTGACGTGAGTGTCATCGTTTGGAAACTGACAGGTGGATCGCGTCACGCACATCAAGACATCGTCTCAACCTGCATGGCATGGAGGAACATTGTATTTACAGTAATTTTTATAATGTGAGTTCTCTTAAATGAATCGTGATCTTTCTAACGTCTTGAACAATCAATTCTATTACAAGATAGTTCGATCTTATGACTCGCTGTTATAGAATAAGTCCACTTACATTAGATTTTTTGGTATTGCAAAACTTTGCATATTCCCTTGAAGCAAATATAGTAAAGATTCTCAAGTGAGAGCGTAGGCTTCCGCGGACGGAGTCAATATTTACTTGGCTGTCCGGATGACGCCGCGTCCATGGGCAAGATGTCCTCGTTTCGGTCACCGTTCTGCGACCTTCCTCAGGCGTAATGGAAGGTCGCAGAATGGATCCGAAACATCGGCACCTTTGCCATGGACGCGGCGTCATCCGGAACGCCAAGTAAATAAAGATTCTCAAGTAATACGAATTCATTAAATATAATACTAGCTTTAAACCAACGTATGATGAACACTAATAATAATAACACGGATTATAACTACTTTTCTGATAGTTCGAAGAATATTGATACAGTGTAGATGATTTTTTAATATTTTCTAATACTACATTCCATTACTTTGAAAACTTCACTCGCCCATGAGTGCGGTTGAAACTTAAATGCCATGATTTACATTGCTAATAATAATGTCAAACAAGTGGGCTTGCTTTAACTTCATCCAACTTCACATCGGGGTCAAAGGAAAAGTCGTAAAAGAAATGAAGTACGTAGTTTTAAATTTCAAATAATTTTCCTGAAATAATACGGTGCACCAAATAGAATAATTAAAAAGTAGATGGGAGGTTAAGTCTTCAAATATAGTTATTTTCAATTAATTAAACACTTTTACATTACACTGATAGGTACGTGACATTTGAATTATAATGTTTACCTTTCAAATACATTGGAATTTCAGTTTGTACTGTATAAAAGACCCAGTCAGCGCAAAACGTGGCAAATACTTTCGCCAGATACGGAGGAGATGTCAATATTTTTAGCCAGGGATGTGAAATTACCTGCGCATAATAAATACACAAACATAAATTCAGTAATATAGACAATAACGAGACTAATGCAGTACGTTAAAACAAGGTTCAATTATTACCTTGGAGCAAACAGTCACCGTTCCTATCTTCTCTTTAATGTAGTCACGTTCCGTAAGACTCACTCGCTTGTCAACCTCAGGGCTATCTGCAATTTGTGTCCACCAGAGCAACCACCATAGGACACCTAAGGCACCTGATTCAAACAAATTTATTGTTGTCAGAAGATAGGCAGATAATCAGATTTTGGTGCCTCAGACTAAAAAGAGCTTACATGAAGCGGTTTGGGGGCTAGTCAGAAATGAGCACTTGGATCTTTAATGATTGCGAAGTTGTAAATTCACTACTAAATACTTTTTCCGGCCTTTAAAAATAGGTTACTTGATCCTAACACAAGAGTACTTGAAGTTTACGACTCATGCAAATTTTATTTTTAGTAAAGATTAAGTGTATTTGAGCGATTGAAATACTTACAAGGTTTAAGCCACAAACAGATATTGTAAATACATGTTAACCTATTTTAATTACTTAAATAAATATCTAAAAATACAAATGCCTCAGAATAAATGTAACAAACTGTTCATGTAAAGGAAGTAGAAGATTGTTACTTTTGATAATGAACATAGGGTAGAAAATCACATATAAAGAATCTACATAGTTACAATTTTAAACATCGTGTCCCCGCTCGGTGGACAATTCATCCGTTAGTTTCGAGAGGTACACGTTCTGTTGCAGTCAACTATATTGTGTGTACCTCTCAAACACCGATAAATGATTAGTACCCGGGCGTACCAATAAGGAATGAAAGTCAAGTGTCTACCTTGTTACAACATATTTTTTAATTGCATTTTCATTAGGAAGTAGTGATCATCTTTGACACCACTACATACCCTAGAAGTTTTCGTAATGGTTATTTCGTGACATTTTGTACGTTAATGCTGTTTTCCAACAGCCTAGCATTGTGCTGCAAATATTCGTCTGCAGTCTGGCTGTGGGGGAACATCGTACTGGTAGTTGCGTTTTGAGAATATAGATGGTGAAGCTCTTAGTAAGATAAGCGCTGTTTTGATGTATTTTTGCGTTGCATTGTGTTGCACTATTAACAAGCAAGTTTGTGAGTTACATGTCCACAAGTTCATTTATATAAGTGTTGAATAACACGGCGTGTATTGCTTCCAGCCTTTTGAAAATAAGTACGTGTGATTGGGCGACCCACCGGCGCAGTAGAAGGCGGAGGGCCAGCCCCAGTGCGTGGCGATCAGACCGGAGACGGGCAGCGTGATGACGTTGCCCACGTTGATGCCCGAGCCGATGACGGCGTAGAGCCGCGAGCGCTCGGTGGGCGGCGCCCAGCGCGCCAGCAGCTGCGCTGCGCCCGGGAACGAGAAGCCCTGCAGAATGCCCTGCGGCCCGCGCCGGCAGGAAGCACGCATGTAGCCTTTACTTTCTGTGGTCTCTATACCACTAAGTGTAGCGCATGATATATTTCTGGATAGGGGGCGTTTCTGCCCAGATGGACAGGGAATTCCGGCGCCCACCCCCACGTGGGTTTCACCTCCAGATGTCTCCCTCCTGCGGAACACCGCGTCAGTTGGGAGAAGCTCTAAGGTACAACTAGTCTGCCCTATACGTGAATTACATGATTATAAAATAATCTTGCCTTACTTTTAGACATCATTGGTAAAATGTGCAGTGATGTTTTATTAACTTAGGTTTCTCAAACCATCAACAGATGTCACAGCAGTGCCTACGACCCCGAGATTCTAGGTTTCCTTTCCTGACGGTGGCAGGGTTTTCGACACTAAGTACCTAGGTTATTCAGTCTCTGTCTGGAGAAGAATTCTAGAGGTTAGATACTCTGATCGGCTGTTTTACGTGGTTTCTCCGATCAACCACAAGCGAATGCCGGAGTACGTCTTTAACAAACGGCCGGGACTGCGCACGATCTTTCCTTCACATTCCCTACATTATCCTCCCTCTTTCTTACACAGACAAGAACTATACTAACACATTCGGAAGATCGATTTGTAGCTTAGAGCTTGTCCATGCTGGAGCGGTGCCCGTTGGTAGGTTATGAGTGTTTGGGGGAAAACCCGCGCCAGAACTCACCAAGCAGCTGAGGGAGTTCATCGACACCTGAAGGAAAATCAATACGCGTAGAATCACTAATCAATCAAGTGGCACTTACGTCGGAGAGACTCTGATGCATTCAGCAATTTCGTATAACTTCCAAACACCAGTGCGGGTTAAGTTAATAAGACAATAAGGGACAAATGTCTCTTTAACGTAGTTACTAGATGTCCCACCACACGATCATTTTAAAAAAAAGGTCATATTCGACTCCCTAAATACCCTGGAAGTCTGTAACATATATTCTGAGAAATTTGTATAATTTCAATTTTTTAGGTGGTTTCACTCTTACAATACTGTCTTCCTAGTCCTTCTCACCTCACCGGTATTTTATTTCCTGTCACCCAATAACTCCGCCATGCAGCACTGGGACGTTGAGGTAAATTGAATTACAGATTACATAGAGTATACTAATATTGCTTTGGGATAGCTTGGCAATTCCTTACACACATACACACAGTTCGAATTCCCCTGAGAACTGTGTATTATGAAATGGCGGAATCGGAGGGGCATATATAATTGTTTGATTACGTCGAGTTTCTGAATGAGTCACCTGCTACGTTTATTAGTCCCGTATGTGTAATATATGTTTTATCACAGGGTTTAGCAGTGATATTGACCCTGGTTGATGGTGTTGGCTTGCAGGGCTTCTCCAACCAACGAGGTACTGCTAGAGCTGGAATAAACTTTACGCTCCTGATTTGTCTCCCGACATGTGCCCTAGTGTGTGTGTGTGTGTGTGTGTGTGTGTGTGTGTGTGTGTGTGTGTAAGTAAAGCATCAGGTAAGACCAAGGCAGAAAAAGTGATGATCGTGCGCAGTCCGTGTCCCGTTTGTTAAGGTACTGCTCCGGCATTCGTCTAGTGTTGATCGGAGAAACCACGGAAACCTACAAATCAAAACAGCCCGATGCTTGAGTTCTTCTCCTGATTTAAATTGAATTCGGCCTAGCTATGTGGCCGGCCACCGCCAGATCTCGAGCCTGCCGATCACGTTCACTGACATCATGCTATGCCCTGAGCCACCGCAGCCCTTCCGGGAGGAAGGACCAAGCTCCCGTCTGCACCCCGAGGTTCTGTTGCGGAGCGAGCAGCAGCGCACCTGGGCGACGCGCACG